TGGCAGTGTTGTTTGTTACGTGCTCTCAAGACACATCTGACTTATAGTGACCTTAATGTGGCTTTTCAAAGTATGTGAGATGGTTGTTGTGGGTTTTTTGGGCTCTTTGGCTGTGTTCTGAAGGTTGTTCTTCCTAACGTTTCGCCAGTCTCTGTGGCCGGCATCTTCAGAGGACAGCACTCTGTGCTCTGGTGTAGTTGACTTGGGAGTGCAGTATTTATGGCTGTGAGATAGGCTTTTGTCTTTTTCTGTAGATGGGTGATTAGTGTGTCTTGTTGTGGGTGTATTGTTGTCCTAAGGAGAAGAGATTATCTGTCACTGTGGTTGATGGGTGTCATTAGCTGGTCTTTTGGTGTAGTGATCCCCTGTCCTTGTGGCTAGGTAGAGTTCGTTGACCTTTTGCATGCTGTATTTTTGAGAGCTGGGAGCCAAGTTTTGTTGAGCTTCACACTTTCCTCTTTTTTATTGAAGTTCTGCTGGTGCTTGTGGATTTCAATGGCTTCCCTGTGCAGTCTGATGTAATGATTGCTGGTGTTGTCCAGTATTTCAGTATTTTGAAATAGAATTTCATGTCCAGTTTGTTTTAGGGCATGTTCAGCTACTGCAGATTTTTCTGCTTGTTTTAGTCTGCAGTGTCTCTCATGTTCTTTTGATTCTGGTGTGGATGCTTTGTTTTGTGGTTCCAATATATACCTGGCCACAACTGCAAGGTATCCGGTATACTCCTGCAGTGGTGAGGGGGTCCCTTTTGTCCTTTGCTGACCGTAACATTTGTTGTATTTTTGTGGTGGGCTTGAATACTGTTAGTAGGTTGTGTTTTTTCAAAAGTTTCCCCATGCAGTCCGTGACCCCTTTGATGTATGCCAGAAATACTTTATTTGTGGGTGGCTGTTTTTCTTCTTCAGTTCGGTGTTGTTTTCTTGGTTTGATGGCTCTTGTGATTCCATTTTTCAAGTAGCCATTCACCTGTAGGGCCCAATTCAGATGGTTGAGTTCAATGCTGAGAAACTGAGCTTCACAGTTCCGATTTGCACGGTCTACCAGTGTTTTGATTATGCCTCTTTTTTGCTGTGGGTGGTGGTTGGAGTTTTTGTGTAGGTACCGGTCTGTGTGGGTGGGTTTTCTGTAGACCTTGTGTCCCAGTCGGAGGTCAGTTTTGCATAGGACCATGACATTTAAGAATGGGAGCTGGCCCTCTATATCTTTTTCCATGGTGAATTGTATATTTGGGTGGATGCTGTTGAGATGGTTGAGAAATTCTTCCAATTTTTCTTCACTGTGACTCCAAATTGCAAAGGTGTTATCCACATATCGAAACCAGACTGTGGGTGCGAGGGGTGCTGAAGCCAGGGCAAGTTTTTCAAAATGCTCCATGTAGAAGCTTGCTATATAACTGGGCTGAGGGAGCTGCCCATGGCCACTCCATCTGTCTGTTCATAGAATTCATTATCCCACTGGAAATAGCTGGTTGTTAGGTATGTGAGATGTTTAAGAAGTGGTTTTACCATTTGGGGGCCTCTGCCCTGTGTGAGTTTCCATGGCCAAGCAGAGATTTGAACCCAGCTCTTCTGCATCTGATATGATTCTATCCGTTACACCACACTGGCTCCCCTTAAGCGTATATTATATATTTTATTAACAAAATTCTCTCTCTCTCTTTCTCTTTTTCTGTCCTTACCACCACCTCCCCTACATGAGTGACATTCTGCTTAATTCTGTATAGCTTAGGAAATGGCGGCAGTTTTCAAAAAAACAAAAATGGCTGCGTTTGTCAGTTTCAGCTCGTATAGCAAAAATAAAAGAATCACAGCACCCAAAAGACTGTGTATGTTATATGCTGTGAAACTGGAACTAGTTTATAGTGGCTATACATAATTGGTTTTTTTTGTTTTTTTAAAAAAGTTGAATATTTAAGAGGTGGTTTTATCAGAGCTGCCACTGCTGCTCCACCCTCACCTGCGTGAGTTCCCATGACCAAGTGGAGATTTGAATCTGGGTCTCCTGAGGTCTAGTCAGTCACTCTTATCTGTAGCCCCAAACTGAGCATCCTCCAACAGACCTGAGGATTTATAATAGTCTGTGTGTCTGAAGAAGAGGAGGGTCATCCGTGAAAGCTCACACTGAAATAAATCCACTCGTCTTTAAGGTAAAGGTAACGGTAAAGGTTCCCCTTGACATTTTTAGTCCAGTTGTGTCTGACTCTAGGGGGCGGTGCTCATCCCGTTTTTCAAGCCGGGAAATAAATCCACTCGTCTTTAAGGTGCCTTTATGCAAAGGCTTGCCGACGTCCATACAAGCCTTGGTCCTTAGCAGAGAAAGCTACACAAGGCAAAGTCTGGAAAGCTTTCTCTCAATCTGAGCCAGCTCTAGGCCCTGCCAGCAAAAGCTACCTTGGCAGAAGGTAGGAGATTAATGAGCAGGATGGTTCATGGCCTTTGGCTGTTGCTCTGGTCATCAACTCCCTTGGCCACTCATTAATTCCCAGAAAATGTCCTGACATCCATTAGGACAAGCAACCAGGTGGAAAAGCCCTCCAATGAAGCATACAAATGGGTCAGAAAGAGGTAAACTTAGCTTCATAGATGCTGATGAACGCCTTTGAATTTTTGTTTTTAGAAATGTTTCAGGGCAACTATGGCTGGTTACAGAGCAACTGCATAAAGATACTGCATAAAGAGTTCACTGTTTGGCAGACCTTCCAAGATGGTATTATACTGGTCATGTTAACTGTAATGAGATGTAGTGGTTCAGATTCTGGATTACAACCAGGGAGATATGTGTTCAAATCCCTGTCAACCATGGATGTTGATCTTGGACCTGTCAATATTTCTCAGTCTAGTCTACCTCACAGGGTTGTTGCATGGATAAGAATGCCACCTTGAGTTCTGTCGAGCAAAGGCCAACTATAAACGTACCAAGAAGCCTTGACAATAAAATCTTTTCTCCAGCAATTGCAGGTGTGCCTGAAAAATGCAGAAGTAGGTTGCCCGAAACAAATCATTGCACCCTGCCAAGCAAGTACTTGATGCTTTTTGTGGAAGCCAAACGAAATAATCCCCTTCATCTCCCAAGACTGGGAGGCAAGGCTGGATTTCTTGAACACCAATCACTTTGCAGATTAAAAGAGAATTAAAGACATAATCTGATAGCAAACAATGAAGCTGCCTATTTTTTGTTACTTTAATGACAAACATATTAGAATCTGTAATGCATTTAATGGATCACTGTTATCTTCAGCTGTCAGTCTGCTGAATTACCAAAACAACTCTTAGCATTTTGAGCTAATGAGGTCAAAAGTCACCCTGTGGTCAAATGTTAAAACACTTAAGTCGCCATAATTTCAGCAGGAGATTCAAGCATTTGTTTCTGTCTGTGTCTTAAGTAAATTTACCAGTGACTTGGTTCCACCTTCCAGTATGGTGTAGTGGATAGAGTGATGGACTAAGTGCCATAATTTCAGCAGGAGATTCAAGGATTTGTTTCTGTCTGTGATCTTAAGTAAATTTACCAGTGACTTGGTCCCACCTTCCATTATGGTGTAGTGGATAGAGTGATGGACTAAGACTCTGGAGAACAGGTTTCGAATCCCTGCTCAGTCATGGGAACTCACTGAGGGAGTGGAACTGGTAAAAACACTCCTTGAATATCTTACCTACCTTGAAAGCTCTAGTAGGGTCACTATGAGTCAGTTCTGACTAGATGGCACATAAATAACTAATGGTGTCCCACTGAATTCAATGGAGCTGACCTCAGAATTAATATGTTAAGAATTGCACTGTGCCTTCTTTTTAAATCAGAAGAGTTAACATCCTAGAAATTGCCAGGAAAACCTTAGAAAATTCTTGTTGTGTTGAAGTCCTTTTTGTGGGGTTCTATTTCATAGATTAATACAGGTCAAAAGGATCTCATGAGTTATTTAGTCTAATCCTTTCCAGTACAGAACCTCTGCTCCTACAACATCTCTCATAGATGTGGCAGCTGTATGTCCTGCTTCATGACAACCCTGTAGCCACTCAGCAGATATGGTTGCAAGAACACAGATCACCTGGTTATAATCTTCCCCAGTTTGGCAAGAGATGTGATATTGTCTCAGGACTCTGGAGAAGTGAGACAGCCACTCAAATGGAGTGTCGGGGGAGTGAGAACAGACAAAAGAAAACATTTCTTCACCCAGTGTGTTGTTAGTCTGTGGATCCCCTTGCCACAGGATGTGGTGATGGCATCTGGCCTAGATGCCTTTAAAAAGGAATTAGATAGATTTCTGGAGGAAAAGTCTATTGCAGGTTACAAGCCATGGTGGGGATGCATAATCTCCAGGCTTAAAACGGAGGTACCTCCAAATGCCAGATGCAGGGGAGGGGTATCAGGAGACAGGTATCTCGTTGTGTGCTCCCAGAGGCATCTGGCGGGGCCACTGTGAGATACAAGTAGTGGGACTAGATGAGCCCTTGGCCTGATCCAGCAGGGTTCTTCTTATGTTCTTATGAGTTCAGATCCTGTCTCCTCTTCAGCCACAGATACTCCCTGGGTAGTAAGCCACTCCCCGACCATGTCATGTACCTCAGAACCTTGCTAGAGCAGCAGTAAGCCAGAAGTCTGCAGAAGCCCCATAACAAGAACAATTATATTTCTATTAAATGGCAGACATTTCTATTTCATTCCTTTTTCTAAATTTGTATCAGCCCTCACAAATTTGCCCACACAAATTTTATGCAAATCAGTGTTTTCTGTTGACTTTTTTTTTTGGATGATAGACACTAATCCAGACTACTGTCGAGAAGACTTAGAAGATTTTAGCCTAGCCTCATTCCTGATAGCCCACTTTATTAGCAACTGTGAAGATTTTGCCTTTCTTTATTTTTTCATGGAAGAACGTTCTATTCGCTTTTTTTAAAAAAAGAGAAAGAAAGGAAAAAAAAGAGGAAGAAACCTCTCTATAGTATTTAGACGTGTCCTTTTGAATCGCTCAGTACTGCTGACACAAGCCTGTTTTCCTTTAAACTTTGATGAATATGGTTTGTGCTGATTTTTTTGAAATTCAGTTTATCTCAGATGAGTTAGCACAGGCTGCAAAGGAAAGCAAATTGCCTTGTTTCATATGACTTTAGAAACCAGCTAGCACCCGAAGAGGAGGATGTGCTATCTTGCTGGGTCACTCTGCAGAGTAGACCAAGCCCTATCTGGGAAACCTGGTGGCCTGCTCAGAGTGCAAGCCACTCCAGCTTTTTGCCATTGCTGATTGGTAGCTGAAGAACAGCCAATTTGCCTGCTTCCTATTCTGCCATGCTTTGGCACTGCCAGTATTGGACCTATATATCTGCCATCACATTCCAGCCTAGTGGGCACCCAAATGTAATCATTGAGGTGGGGGGTGGGGACACCATACAGAATAGTGTAGGCAGGCTGCAGTTGTCCTTGGTGTCTTCATTACTTCAGTGGAATTCTTGATCTCCTACTGGAGAAATAAAGATGCCCAAACATCTACACCTTTACTTACAGTGCTCCCTGTGCCCCCCCCACAATCTTTTCTCAAATTTTTGGAAAAAATAATGAAAGGACAGGTGCCTGATAAGCAAAGGTGGGAGATGGAAGAAACCAGTTTGTAGCAGGGAGAGCAAAAGAGAGAAAGTGAGAGAAAAAGAATAGAGAGAGAGATTGAGAGGGAGAGAGAAAGAGTGAAGTATAAAGAGGAAAGAGAGAGATTTCAAAAATTAATGCTGTGTGGAGAAGAAATAAAGAGCGATAAAAATGGGGAGGGAAGAAGGAAGGAAGAGAGAGAGAGACAGATGGGGGGAGGGAGAGAGAGACCTCGCTCTATCTATAGATTGGTGCTCTTCGGCCTTCTTCCTTCTTTTTCTGAAGTCACTTTCTGCTGCTGCTTCTTGCTCCTTCATTTTAGTTAGATAGGAAAATGGAATACCTGAGGTCAGCTCAAAGGTCTTCTGTAACTGAAGACAGAAACTACAGGTAGCCTGGAGAGAGAGAGAGAGAGAGAGAGAGAGAGAGAGAGAGAGATGGAGAAACAGAGATGGAGGGAGGGAAACAAACAAACAAAGGGCTTAGCAACAGCTTCTCTCACTTCCTGCAGTTTGCAAATTAGCTTGTTTTGTCTTCAGGATGTAATCATAGAATTCTCAAATACAAAACTCTACATGCTGTCATTATTTGCCAAACAATCCTAACAGAGAGACACACAGAGAGAAAAATACCCACTGTGAAAAGATGGAAACTGAAGAGACAGTGGCTGTTGATGGGGTTAAGAGGCTACTTTGCCTAGCTCCTCTTCAATCACAAGCTAGGGCTTCCAGGTCAGATGTGTCACATTCTCCAAGACTTCAGGGCCAAAGGTTCAGATCCTTGTGATGTCATGAGGTGGGTTCTTGTGATGTCACACAGGCAGAGCAAGCGGTGGGAGTGGAGATAGTAGAACTGCTTCTGAACCCGCTGATTATGGAAACAATCATGAGGGGAATCTAGGCAAGTGGGCCAATAATCAGGGTAAAATCCAGCTAAAGTGACAGTACAGCAACCAAGAGCTACAAGCTCTTTTTCTGAAGGTGAGATAATAGAAAAATGCACCCAGCAGCAGTAGCTGCTACTCCTACCATGGCTCACATCCCACATCACATTCATATTGAAAAAGGAATCTAGGCCTGATCTGAATTGAGCCCAGATGGACTCTTATTAAAAGAGCCCAGCTCACCCTGAACAATGCCCCTCCATGGCCTCAGCTTCCTGCTGCAAGCATACAGGAGCCTATCATTCACTCTGGAAATAGCACAACAGCTGGCAACTCTGATTTTGGGGGTACTGTAAATTCATTTGAGGTTTTTGGCTGCATCTTACATCAAGGTGCCGAATCTCATCCGCAAAATTGGTTCAGAACTTTGCGTAACTCCTTAGAGTGCAGAGTAAAACCCGATGTGGATTCCTAGCCCCTTTGAAATTGGAATAAGCAGCCACCGCTGCTTGCTTAAATTTATTTAGCACATGATATCTGCAGCTACTCTGAAAGCAAACCGGGGCCAGCCACTACAATATACTTTCTGTCATTCCCATGTAGTGTGTGAGACAAAAGCTGCCCCTTCTAAAACATCAACAACTGTGAAACACATAGATTAAGCTGAAGGCTTATGTTTGCTGGTTGGTTGCAGTTATAATCAAGGTTAAACATGCACAACCCCAATTAATTAAGCTATCTCATTTAGAACATTTGGTTTAATCTCAATACCACACATCTCCTCTCATCTCTCAATGAGACAAAGAATGTGAAGTGTCAGCTTGTTTAACACAACCCTCGTAGTATTTCAGACCTCGTTTGCTGATGAGAAAGCCCATTAGCAAGAAATGAAGTTCTGTTATCAGTATGGGGGTGTCACTCAGAGATAATTGGGTCTGTCTTGTACACATGGAATTGAGTTGGGAAGATGCATCCAAGGTATCCAGAAGAGAGCAACATGGATCATGGCCACAGAAGGGTGAGCGTGGCCACTGATACACCACCAAACAAGAGCACAAAAGAGGTAGGGAATCTGCATAAAGCTGCATATACAAAGCTAAATATAACTACAATACTTCTCATCTGAGTAGCAAGGTGTGAGGAAGAGACTGAGGAAAGACCGAAGAGCGTGCCGTCCCCTCAAAGGGCTAGCATAGATATACAGATGTGGGAGATAGCAGAGACAGGAGCACCATCAGAGGAGAAAGAAGAAGGTCGCGCGCCAGAAGCAGTGAGGGCTCGAGACCGAAGATTCCGGGAGGAAAAAAGTCAGTTAAGGCAGTTAGCTGGGACCATGGCAAGAGAGAGGAGGGAGGAGCACCACGAAAGGGAAAAGGTGGATGTGTTCCTGACCACCAAGGAAGAAACATCATCCAAAGAGACAGAGAAAATCACAGTGTTCAGAGAGGCAGCGACGGATAGAGCTAACAGTGGTACTCAGGTTTTCGCTGTGTCGGTAAAGAGACCCTTGGCCGATAGTGTTAAAGTGGAGTCAGAGAGCCCGACTTCGAGTAAACTAAGACCCATCATTCCTGGCCTCAGTCCAGAAGAATGGACGGTGCTGGTTTATCCCAAGAATCAAGGTCCTACCCGGTTGGTACATCAAGTAGACCCGATGATACAGAAAGAAGCGTTGAGAGAGGGAGAGTGGGCCCATCACCCGTGTTGTGGGACCTTGTGTGTGGTCCGCAATAACTTCCTGAGGCAACCGACGAAGGAAGAAGAAAAAACAAAAACCTATTATTGAAGGACTTAAACGAAGAAAAAGCATTGGTGTGGTTTTGGGAGAGTTCTCCTCTCCAGTTATCTATACAAAGATCAATTGTTCGTAACAAAGAAGATTTAAACTGTTATGTTAATAAAAATTCTTTATTTAATAATTCTGAATCCTCATTTGTATCACCTGAGAGAGAAACGTCCAAAGGTAACCGAGAACCCACTCACACAAGGACTGAAACCAGTTGCAACCTACTATGCTAAGCAAGAAGATTTCAGCCATAGCCACTGTGGTGGGAGGTTTGTAAACTAAGTCCTGTGAGGAGTGCTTGAAAGATATTAAAACATGTAGCCTGGAATAGATCAAAGAGATGCATAATCATGGTCTTCAGATGTCTGGCAGCGGTTGTGAAAAAGACAGAATAGAGTCATACTCAGCTAATATAGATTAGGTGGAACATGCAATGAAGCAGTTTAACACTGGGAGAAAATTCCTAGTGGTAACAGCTAGTCAATAGTGGAACAGGCTGTCTTTCAACAGAGATGCTCAAACAGAAATTAGATGGCCATTTGTCGGCAACACTGCAGTTGCTCACCCATGAGAGACAGGCTAGACTAGATGACCTTTAGGGTACCTTCCAGTTCCTTCTCATTTGGTACCAGCACTAAGCGGAAACCATACCCCATGCATGCAAAGTTCTGGCTGCTACTGGAACCAAATAAGTGGCAACACTAACAGTGGGTGTATGACACCAATACACTGCTGCATTGTTGTACACACACACAGCTTAATGGGGATGCTGCTTCCAACTCTGTAATTCTCTTTCCCAGGAGGGCTCCATTCTTCTCACAGGCAGAAGATCCACAGAAAGCATAAGGGGATGGTCTCTGTGCACTGGCGAAACATGGCAACACCCTGTATCTGCTTCAGGAGAGAATGGCCCTCCCTAGGCAGATGGAGAGATAGTTCACAGGCAGAAGCAGTGGAAGCTCAAGAGTAGTTATGATGCTTTCCACATTTTCCATACTTGGATTTATACACCGATCTTGGCATTCCAAATTATGCATCATTGCTTCTTCTTCTTCTTCTTCTTCTTCTTCTTCTTCTTCTTCTTCTTCTTCTTCTTCTTCTTCTTCTTCTTCTTCTTCTTCTTCTTCTTCTTCTCTATGTTCCACTTTGCTCCTCCTCCTCCTCCTCCTTCTCCTTCTCCTTCTCCTTCTCCTTCTTCTTCAAAAAGCTTCTACATTTTCTGCAGCAAGCCGTATATGTATGTGCATTAGCCTTCTTTCCTATTCTAATGCACATTCATGCTCATGATGTGCTGCCCAAGAAACCAACTTTGGGACTATCATATGGCCACTTCTTCTGAGATCCATTCTGCATGCTGTTTTGCAAATGCTGAGGAGCAGATCACACAAAAAGAATCTTGGTGCAGTTATTGGTGTAAAATTGATTGTATTGCCAGTGGCATTTCATCAGCACACATCAGATTGTAGCACAGATCCTAATTAACTGGTGCAACTCCAAGTTGTGGCCAAGTGTGCAATCCTGAAACTAGCATTAGAAGTTTGCCTCATTAGACTAGGATTCAAGAGAAATAATGTGCAAGGCAGAGGAAATATATGAAGCAAGGAAAGAAGGCCGTGAAAGAAACTCATAGCTCCTTTGCCACTGGGGCAGAAGATTGGGGACGTGGAGCAACTGGACTTAGACACTTTGTTATACCATGGATCTTCCCCCCCCCCTTTAATTAAAATCCTATTCATGTCTTATTGAGGTCTTTTGAACAAAAGCTTTACTAGCTTCTCCCACTGCACAGCAGTTTTGAAAACACTAAGCACAATTTATTTATCACCTCCCACACTGAAATCACCACATATTTGTATAATTTGTGTTATTTGCATAATTTATTTTGCTGCCAGCAAACTTAGAAACTTTGTCTTTCTAAGTTGTAGAATTTAGGGGATGTGGTTCCTGTAGGGGGCCATTTGCTACCAGTTATGCAAATTAAGATATGCTAATTCGATTAGTGTTGTGGCATATCAGCTTTTGATTAGAAAATGATGCTATGCAAATTTTCCTGTCTGGACTGGGAAGACTGGGTGGGATATGATTAAGCACGGAGGGCTTCCTAAAACATTGTCTCACTGTATTATGGAACATTGGCTGCATTGTGAGGATTCTCCGGCATTCATATTCTGTTTGGGGGTTTTTGTTGTTCTTCATGACGTTTCCTAATATTCTCAGTCTCCATGTACAGATGTGAAAGATGGACAGTGAAGAAAGGCAGTGAGAAAAAAATCAGTTCATTTGAAATGTGATCTTGGAAGAGGCCTTTGTGGATACCATAGATAGCCAGAAAGAAAAACCCATGCATGCTAGATCAAATCTAACCCCAGCTCTTCCAGAAGCAAAACAAAAAAACCCTAAACTATAACTGTCCTATGTATTCTTGAACTGTCCTACTTCAGGCGGGAGACAAAACTCACTGGAAAAGATACAAATACATCTAGACAGGCTGGATCCCTCTGTTTTGGTGTGTAAGTGTGGAAGCCTGCAGTGGTCACTACATTCACCCATTTTCCCTCCCACATATTTCTGAGAGGAGGGAGGCTTCAAGTCCTATGGACATGAGTTCTGTCTGAAAACAATATCCTTCTGAATATCTCTGAAAAATAAGAACACAGCTTGTTTAACAAACAACAGGCTGAAACATTGGGAGTCAATGGAAAAAAAAATGTAGAAGGCTCAGTAGAATAGCCGTGAGAACGATGTATGGCCTCAAATGCAGCAGCTTTGTATTTTCAGAACCACTCATCATCATCATCATCTTCCTTTCTAGGGCTGCCAGATCATCAGCTTCCCATTCTCCGAGATGCCAGGGCCAAAACCCAAGGCCAAGCGGTGTGCCCTTTTGAGTTCATAGGGAGCAACTAAGAACTTGCCTTCCAGAAGCCTCTTGGAGGGCTTAGCAGGTCAAAGACTACATTTCAGAGAATAAGCAAGCACATGGCTAAAAGTCAAGGGAGAGGGAACTGACAGAGCAGCAAAAAATCCCAAATTGTTACCTAGTGATCCAATAGACGTATCCTTTACCCATCCCGTGCCTT